AACTTCAACTACAATTTAATTGTACCATTATGATGAAATTTTTGTAGATAATATTTATATGTGCACAGAAACATGTTTCAGGTTACCGCTTATTAAAAAAAAAAATTTTAAGGATAATTTTGTGTTGGTATTGGATTGTATTTCTAATGCACAATTTTATTTATTTTACACTTTGCGGCATATATTTTACCGAAATTTTGTAGTAAAAATCGTATTGTTGCCTATTTGTAAAGTTTGGTTTTTTTAAGTTTCAACACGTTATCATTCTGTTTTGAATAAGTAAAAATCTTGTTGAGAAGTAGATCTTGCAAATCCCCAGTGGTATTAAAGCCCATATTTGAAGCTAGTTACTCCAAAAGAAGGTATTTTGTTTCTTGAATAACGATTTCATTGTTCGCACCGTATGTGGATAACAACGTTTTACGTGAAAAGATTTTATTTGTTTTCCAAAGCTATACGCTTTTTAGTCTAAATCAGAGATTCCTTTCGCCAAGGGCAGGTTTGCCATGGAAGCCGATTGACTCCAATATATATGGTGGGCTTCTGGATCAACTATATTGAATTTTTTTTTCGTCACCGAAAACAGCGTTTTTCAATTTTTCCTACAAAATTCGGGACGTAACGTTACGGATGTTTTTTTTTCTCCGTTGAAGAAATTGATGATTTTATTAAAAGATATTGTGCTTAAAACCTATGCTATTTAGAGCTTTGTTTCAAGAAGTAAGAGGCGCAAATCAGATTGCTCAAATAAATGTGAAAAGAAAATATAAAATAATAATATGTTATGCCATTTTGGACTATGCCATTTTGGACATAAAAATGAGAGAATTTGAAATTGCATACATTTTTTGCTATTTTAGTTGACTAATTCGCGGATTAGATTAAAAAAAATTTTAATTTTTGGAGAATCCCGTCTCCTATCGGTACCTGCTTGCTTCCTACTTTTAAGAACCACCTTATTGTATATGCATATATTCAATTTAAAGGATTTGAATTGAAGAACGAATTGAGTGAAAATAATAGTTCAACTGAGGGCGCGAGAGCCAGACAGAGAACGTTCTCTGTTCCGAGAAAGCAGAGCACGCTGCCATCGAGGTGTGCAATTATACGCTCTTTAAGAAAATGGTTCCTGGGCCGTTTAGTTCTGCAGCTTAAAAAGATCATACTAAAGGGAGTCTTACACTGCCATATTGGTTCGAAATCGCAGCACAAAGCAAAATCTTCAAATCAAACTGGATCTGAAAACAACAAAAAGATGCTTCAGAGTTTTTAAACATTTTATTAAAAATAAGATCTCATAGATGACATTAATTTATGTATATTATTAGATTTACTAAAAAAATTCTAAAGATATTTCGTCCTCAACAACCAGATGCGAACTTAACTTGGGGGGAAAATGTTAAAAGACGATTGCAAATTAGATGAAAGCTAAAACCAAATTAATCGGCGTGTCTGTGCAAAACTTTGTTTGGCAGTTCACTTACGTTATAAAAACTTTATGAAACAAGATTTCAAATTTCAATCGCAATTACCGAAAATTCAACAAATATACGCATCATTCTTCCAGGCGATAGATAATATCGTCACCCGTATTCCAGACGATTGATTGTGCAAATTTACGATTTCTTAGTTATTGGTTGACTTGATTAACCTTTGGATGCTCGTAAAAAAAAATTCAAACTTGATTTCCCAAAATTTTCTTTTTTACACATTCATGTTTCTGGCATAGGAGCGACGATTTATAATTAAAACACCTACATACATTTTCATTTGATTTCGGAGCATTTAGTCGCTTGAATTTTTCCAGGAATAAATAGACAATGTTGTTTCGAGTACGTTAAACAATTCAAGTTTGGTGTCGACATCGATTATTTATATAACGTCAGGAAATTGGAATTGTTCCATAACAGTTCCCACATTTTTTTTTTGTGTAAAAATTTATTTCCTTTTATTTCCTTTTTAAAATAACAAATTTTAATTCCTTTAATTATATTGTTAATTAAATATTTTATAATTTGTTGCTTTTTTTAAACAAGTTCTATTGGTGGTGTCTTCAGTTTTACTGCGCGTAAAACAAAAGAAGGAAACTGTGGCTGGTAATAATTTATATATAAAAATTGAAGACCGACAAATGCGTTTTGTTCGCTTATAACAAATAAGTTTCAAACTGATACTAATGCTCGTGGTGTAAACCTTTCGGTTTTACTTCTTGGCGGGTTTGCTGTCCAGTACAGGTTGAATAGTTTTGCCGCCAAATATCTGGCCCCATCCAATTAAACTGGAGAAATAAAAAATAGCTTCGTATAGTTAGGAGCTAAAACAATTTTTTAAACAGTCAGCCCTATCGCCAATTCCATGTGAATAAATCGTTCCCATAATTTAACCTGCAAAACAAAAACAAATTTGGAAACATTGTTTTTGTTTTGCTTTATAATTTTTTTTGGGAATATTTGTTGATGTGAAATTCGTAATAGGGCCGAGTAAATACTCACCGCCAATGTTTTTCCACACGACGACTTAATGCAATTTTCTCCCCCTTCTCAGTACAAACCGGTGTGGTGAGCACAATTTTGGCCAAATCGCCCTTTGTGGCGGAAATTCGACCACCCGTGCTTAAAGATCCAATATTCACCAGCAATATTTCATTTTTTTGTAGTTTCTCTACACGTGCACCTTTTTTATCGCCGTCCGTACGCACGCCCAATAATCGTCGCAAGAGGTAATACGAAATTTCCAGCTCAATATATATGTCAGGTAAGTGGCCAACAGCTCCCAGCACCTGGCCAACGAGACGATCTGCACGACATAGTGTCGGATCGATTTTCGTACCCACACCAATTAAACCACCAGGCACCGCGTACTGCAGTTCATTTTGTTCGGCATACAGTGACACAATGCGCGAAAAAAATGGGTCGACAGGTTATGTTGCCCTCGCTGTCCTTCGTGACAACACCAGGACGCACTTCAATCTCCTGACCCACTTTCAATACACCACAAAGGATAGAACCACCGGCCACACCTCCTTTCAGATCGTTGACTTCACAACCTGGCTTATTCACATCAAAGGAACGTATAACAATTAGCCGAGGAGGTGCTTTGAAATCGCGCTGAGGCACGGGAATCTTCTTTGTGATATATTCACATAATACCTAAAAATCGCATTGCAAATAAAACATGTTCTTACTTAGATTCGGCACTTGTAATAATAATAACTCACATCAATGTTATATTTAAGCTGAGCAGAAATCGGTACAATTGGTGCACCTTCGGCAACTGTACCCTGCACGAATTTCGTTATCTCTTCATACTGCTCTTTGGCTTGGCTCTCCTTCACCAGGTCAATTTTATTTTGCAAAATGAGGATCTGTTTTAGTTTCATAATTTCAATTGCAGCCAAATGCTCAGATGTTTGAGGCTGAGGGCAGGATTCGTTACCTACAAATAAAAAAAATAATAAAGTAGTTGTTCTTTAGGTAAAATAAATGTACATATACAGCAGTCTGGCAACCTAACTTACCAGCAATTAAGAGTAGTGCAGCATCCATTACAGCAGCACCGTTCAACATGGTAGCCATAAGAATGTCGTGACCAGGACAATCCACGAAACTCACGTGACGCACCAACTTGAAACGGCCCACACAGGACGGACGGGCACAGGGGAAGCTATCATCCTTGCTGGAACCGTCAGAAATAAAACAAGCTGGTCGTGGACACTTTGCATTGTCGCATTTATAAATTTTAGCGTTAGCGTAACCTGAGTTTCACAAAAATTAAAATTTCGTAAATTTTTAGTGTTTTACAAATTGGCAAAATTAATAAGATGTGTGTGACCCTTGCATTTGTCGTATGATTTCCAACTAGCTAGACAATTTTTCTAAATGTCTTAATAATATCAGCACAAACACCACAATGATGATATTAAATTTGTGAATTAGTTTTAAAAACCAAACTCCTAGCTTAAAGTATATTAAGCTGACTTACTTTACGTTTCTTTCATGACCCTTGAGTGCGACATACAAATCATAAGAAAGATTCAACGCCAATCTGCTGGCATAATTCTGGAAGCTTTTTATACAAATCGATTGCTGTTCGGAGGTCCCCCATTTATGTGACAACACCAAGGCACACAAATTGAAGATAAAGCTTCGCCTAACGCGCGTAGAAAACAGTGACTCAAACATTATTATTAATGTTGATTATTTAATATTTTCATAGGTATGTTAAATTAAAATACACCTTTAATTTTTTTCTGGTATATCGAGATTTTTTTATTGGCGAAATGTAATCTACTGCAAAATTCAACATTTTCTGTACAAATGTCACTTTCAAAAATTTCATGCATTGTTATGTCATGTTAACTCAAACAAGGTGCCATGCCATGTCATTTCATCTCAAACATATTAGTGGGATTCATGAAACGTCGCAAAGTTGTTGCAATTGTGTTATTTGTTGAAAAATTTGGCACCTTGCGACACAGCTGTATGAAAACTCTCCTGCGACAAAATTGCGACATTGCCGTATATTTGAGCTGGCAATCATTGCAAACTCTAAAGTCGCCAAAAACATGATATTTTATTGTCCTCGAATGCTTCAAGAAAAAGTGTATCAGTTAAGGCTACTTCGAAACATAATTGTAAAAACTTTTCTTTTTCACTTACGCGCGAAATTTTATTTTTTTTGTTTAAATGTGCATTTGTTGTTCGCAACGTTGCCATTTCGCCAAAAATGTCACTTTGCGACATTTTATGAATTGCACTACTGTTTCAGCGTGTCATTGCTACTTAGCTAAGCTGTTGTTCGTTGTTGTGTTTCTGCAGCATATTTTTAGTACTGTTCCTGATCCTGCCTTGTATGAAAATGTATATATTTTTTACTTAGACAATTGTTTAATGAATTTTACTATATACGTATATTAGACTGTCCCAAGAATATATGGAAAAAAACTTGTGTGCAAATTTTGAATTGCATACCCTCTATATTTGTGCTTTTTAGCCTAAATAGCATATATATATGAAGTTTTATGGCCGTAGGCTAACGATAACCTGTGCCGACTTTTAGTTGAAGTTTTAGTTAATAACTTGAACTTAGACTGCCAAATCCTCCATGAAAACTTTGGAAATGCAATAAATTAAATAAATCGTTTTAGTCTTTGACATGTCCTCTCGGGTTGATATAATGGTTGTACTTCCGTATGACATAAAAAAAATTTAACTAAACGTAATTTCCATATCGTACTGATTTACAACAGTTGAACAGCCTGAAGGGACATACAAAATAAGAAAGCATATGATTTGGTTTATTTAATATTTTGTAAGGCATTTTTTTAAGAAAAAGGAATGTAGTAGAAAAGTTGAATTTGAATAATTTTGTATTCATCATACGCCCTGTCACACCAATTAAAAAATGTTCAGAATTGCACGTTTTCAGGGGAGACAAATTTTTCTACTAGAAAAGATACATACATATGTACGAAAAATTAATTAATGGAAAAATCATAGTGGATTTGAAGGGGTTATTACAAGGCTGCAAAACTATGTTTTTAGTCTAATAATTTGTGACCATTTTTTAATTAAATTTTCATATTCAACTTTTTTAACAAATTCTTTTCCTCCTTTAAAAAAAAAATGCATTTCATAATATTAAACAAACAAAATAAAGTGTTTTAGTGTTTGACATGTCCTCTCGGGTTGATTAAAGAATAAATGTGGCAGTATTAATTAGAAAATTTTAAAAATATCCTTTGAAATTTTTATCCTTTAGTATCCTTATATATGTTAATAAGATTTAAATTAAACTAAGATTCTTTAAAACTCATTAAAAATTAAAAATCTTGAAGGATAATATATTTAAAGGACATTTTTGACATGTTCCAGAAGGATAATTGAAAACAAAAGTTATAGTTAATCTTGTTTCGAATTCCTCTTTCATTTGATACCCATATATCCATATTTTGTGTAAACTTTTGGAAATATATTATTATTTATGGTCCTTTGGAAAAAATCCTGACTACCAGGTAAAAAACCAAAAACGCAGATTTACTAAATATTATGTCCTAAAGAAGTAAAATGAGTAAATTAACAAAACACGCGAACTGCAACAAGCTTATTCTGATAACTTTGACTGCAAGTCGGCACGGGTTGCCGTGGTTTTTGGAATTGCATAAAATTTGATTCCTATATTTTTTAAGATAACACCAATGAAATGAAAATGAAAAAAATGTTGGTTTTTTGGGACAGTCTAACGTATATACAATGCATTTAATAAATACACGTATGTACTCGTACGTAGGAATTAAACTCACACTGTATTTTTTACATTTAATTAGTTTTAAACGAGTTATCAAAACTATCAAGCATAAACTTTTCTAAAAATTTGGCGATATTTACTGTCAGAAATATATCCACAAAAGTACAAGAACGCAAAAAATGCAAAAACTTGAATTTTGTGAACATTCGATCGGCTTTTTGTCTACACCCAAAAGAACGAAATAAAAAAGCATAAGAATAAAGCATATTAAAAATTCTCCACGCTATTTGGATACGCAAAAACGTGATACTAATAAAAGTGGTGTGTCAACGTCAAGTTGTTTTTTATTTATTGTTTACAGGATTTAAAACATAGTCTTAATTATTTAGTTGTAATGATGCTTAAGGTTGGTAATAATCAAGAAGTCAAACAATATGAAAAAATTAACCACACCTTAAAGGCAGTAAAAACTACATTTTATGAAACTATACTTAGCAAAATATAAATGCTATTCATAACAAAATAGATTTAAAAACATGTGATAAGCATTTGAGCCGAAAGTGAACGATTTGGAGCTGGAGTACAAATATAACTGGCATCATTATTAACAGTAATAAAATTTCCAATTATTAAATAAACTCCATTTATGAGTAAAAATTTAATATAAATTACTTCGGTGCATATTTGCCCATTCTAGAAGAAGCGTTTCATTTATTTATATCCTAGTTCTAAAGTAAATTTGTATGCGAGAACTTTATTAAGTTGCTCATTTCCTTTGCATTTTCTTAATAACAACTTTTACTGAAATGTTCGTTTAATTTGTCGATAAAATTATTAAAATAATACTTTGCGACAATTATCTGCACCACAACGACACGAAACCTTCTCGGCTGACGACAAATTTTCATAGTCTGTGCGTACATAATCGAATGTCAATTCTTCTCCAGCTTTTATTGGTCGTAGCGAAAAGAATGCCAAACGTGGCATATTAATGTCGAGGTTATTGATCCAAAACGGAAACACTGCTAAGTTGGGATTGCACGAGTGATTAATGAAATGGGAAATATTGCCATAGAGCGCCGCATCAATTGTGTACACACTCTCCCCGGAGGTATTGTAATCTAAATCGAAAAGATAAGTGCGTCCGATGGCGTCATACGTTTGGCCGCGATCATTCGCCTCTTCGCTGGTGATAATTTCACCCACATACTCACACACGTATTCTCCCTTACGCAATGGTTTCTCGGTTCGAACGCCCCAGCCACATCCATTCGATGTGCGGAATATACAAAGCGAATTACTGCGCCCGCGCTGTATAACACGGTTTACACATTCCTGTTCGCATGAACACCTGTTATTGCATTCATAAATGGCCTCTCCAGGTCGGATACGAAGTCGGCCTGCTTTGTCGTAAGCAAAATAGCTGCCCGCCATGCGTGCACAGCACGTAGACAACGGAGCACACTCGTTTTCACATTTGCATCCAATTGGGGGATCCTCCTGCATTTTGACATTGTTTCCAGCGAAACTTTCTTTTATATACTTAAAAGCGACATCTATGACTTCCAAATCAAAGCGGTTTTCCACAGTTATCGGCGCTGTGTGTTCTACCTGATTCATACGCTCCTGGAAAGCTTTCAGGTCGCATAATTGCTGCTTACGTCGATAGTAGACAGGCTTCATTAGCATCATATTAATTATACGGCTGCGTATCTTTTCCGGTTCTTTAAAACTACGTGATCGTGTTGCACGAAACTGGGCAAGCAATATTAAATCCGCTTTTATCACCAAAGGATCATATTTATCTAATTCCTCTAATTTTAAGGAGGTCATATCGAAAACTAGACCATTCTCTGTAATTTCGGCTTCAATATCGGCTATGATTTCTGAAATAATCAACTCAAGCAATGTATACTGTGATTCAATGAACGGCTCTAATACAGCACATTCACTTATGTTGTCAAGGGACTCCCAAGTATTCGTTTCGGGGGGATATCCCAACCATTTCACAAAGAATATGGGATTGCCGTTAATCGATTCAATCGATTCTATGCGCTCTACTATATACTCGCCATTCACCTTGAATTGCTTCAGCTTTTGACGCTTCGTAACTGGTGTTTGTCCATCATCGGTTTCTGAGTTGTCTGTCTGAGGTTTGTTGCGCTTTTTTCCCACGGTCGGTGTTTCCTTCAGCGCATTTATTGCATTATTGAGCACACGCGAACGTGGTGTGGTTGAACTCCCCTTTTGATCTCCTTGTATGGATGAACTATATTCGGAGTGGCTCTCATAGCCACTACTTGGACTTGATGAACAGCCGCGTGTTGGAGTTTGACTGCTGCCGAGACTGCTGCTTCGAATCGATGTTCTGGTTAACTGAGTATCTGCGCTTACACTGCGTGCTCGTTTTTGCTTGCGTGCCCGCAAAACTGGACGAACTATTGCTTGTCCCACTGGCAAGCTATTGCGTCGTTTTGCATCTAACTTCGCCTCGAACTCGCGTAGCAGTACTGGGGAGCTTAATAGTGCACGTACTCTTTCGTCGCTGAGGCGTTCTGAAGAATTGATATACCCACCAACCAGTACCGTTTCGACAAGGTATTCAACGGAGTTAATCGTATACAGATGCACGCGCGGAATTCCATTTAAAGTTTTAAATTAAAAAAGCCAATGAAAAAACAGAAGAAAAAAAGAAATTAAATTAATATGCTGGATTTTGCCATTTTAAATATTGAATTTCAAATATATCGAACACGAAGTGCTCAAAACAAAATTTTGATGCTTATCTTAAATTAGGGCAATGTTTTTCACAGTTTTTAACAAACAAAAACGTATAAAAGTAACTTCATCAACTTATGCCCAACTACCAAAGAATTTTCCAACTTTTTCCTGTCAAGTACTACTTGGCTTGTGAGATCAGTGATTGACAAATTGCATTTTATTTAAAATATAGCATACCAAGAACAACTTGAAAATATTCCAGCAACTAATTTAATTTTCTTTAAATGGAATTCCCTTAGCGGGTTAATATTTATAGTTGTTTAACTAATTTACCAAAATTCAAAAAAATTATATTATTAGCACGTTCAAATTGACGCCATTTAACTACATCGTTAAATGATCGATGTTTTTTTTATTACCAGACAGTTCAGGCTGCAGCTTGTAGATAATACTTGACAATGCAATGTTTGTTTACAAATAAAAACGCCCGGTTTTGGCCACAAAGGTCAGAAATAACTTACTATACTTATTAATCTGTTCGATAAGATTACCAACAGCAATTTGCAAGAATAAAAATTACAAGTTTCAGGAACAACGAATCGGGATTTCGTTTACATTCAAAATCATAGACAGAGAACTAGGAGAATTTTCACTTTTTTAATTACCCTCTCCTTACTCTAATGTATATCCTGGTCAATTCTACACGAAATTAAAATCTTTGTAACGTTGACAGTACTCTTTTCAGGCTTATAACCTAAAGAGCAAATGATCTATTCAACTATTTTTTTATTCAGAACGCTGAAACCAAAGTGTCAACAGTTCTGTGAAAATATTTATTGGCAGCTCATTTGGTCTTAAAAGATATAAGCCTGGAAAGTGCACTGGAAACGTTACCAAAGTTTTATTATCCTGTAGTATCGACCTCTATACGTTTTTTCGACAACTGATTGGTAGATTTTCATTTTACATCTCACCTTAAAAAAAAAAATATTTTATTAAATTTTTGCATGAATCTTACAGATACAATCGGGCTGAACTGGTTTTCAAAGGCGGGTGTTATGCAGCCGAACTTTTGTTTGGCAAACAAGGTGGCGGTTGCTTTGTTTGCTTTGAGGTGTTTTTTTAGAGTTGGGCACAGATTTGCACCTTAATTGCTTAAAACCAAGAATTTTGTATTATCTTCGATAACGGTTAAGTTTGTTCTAAGCTAGTTTTCTGTTAGTATAACTGAAATTTCATGCCCGAAATCAGCTGACTGAAACGTGTTGCGTTACGGACTTTTATCTAATTGGGAAACCAATTATGGTTGATTAAATTTGTTTGAAAGAACGAAAGTACATCACTCGTTAGCGTAATTAAAGTAATTTTTAAACATATTTAACTAGTGGTAAATGGTATCAGTTTGAACATAGTATAATGATATATTAAACAAATTTTTAAATGCTAACATCTGCGGCAGCTTACAACATTAGATAGTGCATAACAACGATGACATCGTAATATTTATAGTTGATGGATCGATTATTTTCTAAAAATTATTTCTGCATAGCGTAAATAACAAAAGTATACAAATAACAGATAAAAGAAAACGATTCATTCAAAGAGAAAGTGGCAAAGGAAAATGTGTATCCAACCGAAAATACATAGTGTTCGCTAAAAATTTTATAACGTAGTACATGATTTCATCTTCTTAACAATTTTGAACATTGATTATAGCAAAGTTATGTTTATTAGATGATTGATAAATAATCTAGTTCATTTCTTGAGTTACTGTTACCCAACTCAAAAATGTTTAATTAGTAACTGTTTCTAGTTGAAAAATGTTGGTAATTAAATAAGTTGCTGACGAACATATGCATACCCTTTAATCAGCGTAGTACTATGTATATTGAAATTTCGCCATAATTTTGAGTTAATGGTTCATTTTATTTTTTAAAGGGAACACTTGAAGTCGCGCGAAAAGAAAAATAACACCCGTATAGCGTGCCGACTAGTAGGTAGTAGATAAACTTCGATTATCGCTTATCCATTGTATTTTTAATGGCGTTTTCTCGTTCAATCAATAAGTGAGTGTGAATAGTTTTTAATCGTACGTCCTTCTACAACTGTTTGGGTGTCGCTTAAGGTGAAATTAGACAAGAACGTAAACCTACCGATACGTAAACCCGAGTCAGCTGACACGAGCTGTCTTACCAGAGCGCCATGTAAATACAAACTCGAGTTGTTGTTGATCAACACCGCAGAATTCAAGGCGTATTTGATGGTAAAAAAATTATAAGTTCGTATTCAAAATACATTTAAAATATTTGAAATTTACTGTCGAATAAGGTTTTTTGTTGAAAAATAAGTAGTTTATGTTTAGCTAGCATCTATTATAGCACGAAAATTTTTAGTTGAAAAGGTAAGTTTCTGAAAAGGCATTGATGAGTGGCAACACTGTAGTAAGCAACACCGAGGGCTCCAGTAATCGACAAAATTCTGCGTATACAGACAGCGTTTAAGTATAAGTTCTGCGTTCTTGACTAATTTCACCTTTATTGATCAAGAAATCGACATTCACAATACCATGGAAAGTCGATCATCGAATGATATTCGTTTATCTACTATTAGTCGACACTAGCAATAGGGGTGTAAATAAAACAATCGTGTATGTTAGAATTTACCAATAAGCAAACAAATGTCCACTCTATTTCCAACAAGAACGCTTGACATACACAAAATCTTAAACTTCCGAGTTTATTGCTTTTAAATCCCCCATAAGAACTATTCCTCAAAATTGACATACAATTTACTACTATTTGAAAAGAAAATATAGTGTTTTCTGCCGCTACTCTTTCAAACCTAACTCAACGGGCAAATGCGAATAATGTAATGGATATTACTCTTAAATTAATATAAATTGGATCAAATTGGACTAAGTTAATATTCATATTTAAAACTTTGTAATTAACTCAACCATTAAAAATTGCACGAACAAACTTATACCTAATTCATTTACCTATCCTCGCGCAAGAGACTGGTAATTTATAAAAAAAAAACTGATTTCTAGCTTGAATTTTTATTCTTCCTTTGCGAGAATTCGTATGTGGTTAATTATATTTCATTTAACATACCAAGCTTAATAGTGATGTTTCTCTCCAGTTCATTTTTGAAGCGCACAGTTTGAACTCCAGAAATAGCTTTAACCACGGTTGATTTTCCATGCGCTACATGTCCAATAGTACCGATATTGATTGTGGCCTGACGCGAGATCACCTCTGGAGAGAGTGGTGTCAAATTCTCGATATCCTAAAAATATAAATTAATTAGTTATTGAAATAATTTGTTAAACTATCCAGAATTTCAAAAATACTTAAAAGCATACGGTGAACGCCGCAAAATAGAAAATGTAGAGTAAAACTTTCTCATTATTGAAATGAGGTTAGAATCTGCATATTGCATCAGAAATATCTGCCAACAATATGTTAGCCCAGAAGATGCAGAAGTATGCAGAATGCTTTTATCCTTACATTTTGCCTATTTGATCTCTATACATTACTATTTTCGCGGCAGGATAGTTTTAAAATTTGTTTTTGGTATTCCTAAGCCACGTGCAGTCTTTCTTTTCAACGTTTAACCCAGGCAATCGAAGGCAACAAATAGTTACTTCGTGAGCAGCAAGATCAATATGGAATCTGTATAATACGCTTACTGGACATCATCAGTGGAATTCGGGAACATAACATGACACAATACAAATAATTTTCTTTTCATTGACCAATTTCCCCAATGCAAAAGTAACTTCATTGCGACTGACATCTGCCGCGTTGTACTCTGCCAACGCTCTAATTTCTTTTGCATTTTCTACTGTACACCAAAAGAGCTCCAACATTTTTACACGCATTTGAGCACTTACCAAGTTACTAAGATCCTGCTTTTGCAAATTTGTATTCACACCTATTTGTGCTTCCGCCGTAGACATTTTGTTTATTTTTCTACTTCCAATTCACACAGTTAAAAATTGAATTAATTCACACTCGTTCACGCCTAAACATCAAAATTTATCCGTCACTTGGAAAGAAATATGCCAATTTCACGCGGCACTTTTCTATGAGCGAGCGCACTAGTAAAATGGAGTGAGCGGGACAACTAATACGTGCAATAGGTCACTGTTGCATTTTTGGTCTAAAATTAGCCTGTTCCCGTACTCCAGAAATTGTCAGTTACTAAGTTTATACCATAATAAAAGCATAGTAAGGTAAAACCGTGCTCTCAATGCGTCGGCCATGATTTTTTTTTGAAGTTTGCCAACATTTTAAAATCGTATAAAGGCCCGTCCACATAAAACTTTGGCGTTGCGTTGGCGTTGGCGTCGCTTCAACAGCTGACTATGAATACATGAATTCAAGTGCAGCCGTCCACATAGCCAAAATTCGGCAACGCTCACGCCAACACAAAGCAAAAAGATGGCCAACTCTCATCTTTTCGCGTGCGTTGCTCGTCAGCTGTTGCAAATAAATAAAATTGTGTGAAATATTTTCCCTTTTTAATCAAGTGCAGGTAAGAAATATCGTTTTTAATGCAATTATTGATATTAAATATTAATTTATCTGTCGTTAGTATGTTAATTTAGTCACCCAAGCATTCGCTGCCAAGCGTTCATTGTAGCAATCATTCTTTTAACGTGCGTTCTGTCAAACCAACGCCAACGCCAAAGCCAACGCCAACGCCAAAGCCAACGCGAAAGTCCTATGTGGACCGGCCTTAAAATTGAGAGTAAAAAAAAGGAATTGTTCAAAGTTGTTGTTGTTTGAGATTGAAAATGAGAATGTGTGTGTGAGTAAAATTTTTAAATTAAATTGCTTGCAAACATCAAGAATTTGAAAAAATTACTCTCAGCGGTTCTACCTTCCTATTTTTGTATCATGGTTTATACCATGGTGGTACCAGTTGTGACAGCTCGATTTTCAGTAGAATAAGAGGAAAAACGGGAAGAAATTAATACCCATTTGGGGGAAAAATATAAAATTTCATATTTTCCTCGAAACAAAATTTGCTTTTTTATAGTATATTCGTAATGAAATGAAATAAAATAAGATAAAATACCTTTTTGAGAAACAAAATGTGTATACTGAGAAAAAATATATAAAAATTCAACTATATTATTAGGCAAAGAATTGTTAAAGAAGTAACACTGTTATTAGAGCGAGAAGTTGCCAACCGATAACACCTTGTATTAGTTGCGTTCCTTATAGGAATGTTCGATATTTAAAAAAGTATCGATATCATGAATAGATTTATTTCATTGCATGTAAAATCGATATGGCGATATATCGGGCTGAACAATATCGATATCAAAAAAATCGATGTTGAAAATCCTACTCCCAATTGAATAGAATATTAACCCCGCCCGTGTTATTTCCAATTTGTATACTTACTGAGGATTAAAACGGCATGCCGGACGACTTAAGCGGTTTGTCAAACTTAAGAGCTAAATAAATCACACAAGCTGCAGATTAAACCTATTTTAGGGTATTCCCATACTCTTTTTTGTAGATGAAAAATAAATTTCAACTTAAATATCGATATTGCGGGTAAAGTATCGATGTCTTCGATATATCGACCTTGGAATATCGATTCAAAAAATCGATTATCGTGCCATGAAATATCGATATTCAGGATAATCGATACGATATCGAACATTCCATGTTCCTTTTCTCCCAGAAACAGTCAGAAAAAGTCCGAAGTAGTCAGAGTTAGTCCAAAAAGCGTTCCTTAACCCCAAAATGACAGCAAAAATGAGAGAGCAACACTCAGTGAGAGTGACTCTCTTCAGTCCAAATTAGTCAGATTTAGTCCGAAGAATTTTTGCGGTGAGAATAATCTAAAAAATAAAAAAAGTGAATTGAAATTGGAAGGAGGCAAAAAATAATTGATATAGTAAGTGTTTGTACATACATTTCTATTCTTATATGAAGTTAGTTTTGTTGTTGCCATTCTTTGGACTAAAAATTTGGTTTTTTGCGTTCCTTTACTTTTTCCTGTTATTCTCTTTTGGTGAGCGAATTTTGCTTACGCTCTTGCATTTTGACACTTTTCAGATTTTAGTCCAAAAAGATAAGGAATGAACCTGTTATTGCATCATTCTCATTCATATCCTTCGTATGAAATTTTTCATAGTCCTCGCTGCAAAAGCAAAAAGAAAATACATGTACATTTTGTAATTGTCGTACCGATACCATCTTATTGAATTCGCCTTGACTTGAATCATGTAAATCGGGTGTTAAAAGCTTACCTGTGACGCAAAAAAAAGAATTTCTATTTAGCGGGGCCTTAAGCTGTACCCAAATAACCGCTGTCAAAAATAAAACTTACACAGTATGATCCAACTACACAAGATATGACAAGAGTGCTTGTGATGTAAACAAATGCTCTGCTGACGAACCCGCTTCACAAACTTTTTTCTTAAACCTGGTTACAAATACAACGTCGCGTTATTGCGTGATGTTCTATTTTTGTTTCATGGCACGCTTTGGTCGAGCACTTAATCAGGGCTGCCAACTATTCTTTGCTTTGAAGACTTCAAATTGAACTGCCATATTGCGGATAAAGAAATGCAAAATGTGACGAATAGAAAAATAAAAGTGTCGATAAAGGTGCCATTCTCTTTAATTCTTCCCATTTAGAATTAAACTTGGAAACGCATTCCTAAAACACAAGCCCAATGCCAAAGTAAGATAAACCAGTTTTATACAGTAAAGAAACTAAAAAATTTTAGTTGAGGAAAAAAATTCCACGCAAGGATTTCACAAAAATGTATTGAAATATTAATATTTTTCAAAAGTGCCATTTTGGCACTTTGTGCCAAATTGAAAAATTAAGTGCCATTTGAAGTAAAATAGGGCCAAAAAAAAGGCACAGTTTGAGCGATGTTGGCAGCCTGCACTTAATACCATAATACAAAAAAGAAGGTAGTTTCAAACATGATAAAAATATAGTAAGGTAGAACCGCTGAGAGTCACTTTTAAAATTCTTGACGTTTCCAAACAATTTAATTTTTAAATTTATTCACAAACTCACACACACATTTTCATTTTCAATCTCAAGCAACAACAATTTCGAACAATTTCAATTTTTTATTTTCACTTTATATGATTTTAAAATGTTGGCAAACTTCAAAAAAAAAATCATGGCCGACAAATGGAGAGAACGGTTCTACCTTGCTATGTTTTTATCATGGTTTCAATAAACAACTTTTGACGAAATGTTTTGCCCTTTCTTATCGAAATGGACCTTTTATGATTTATTTTGGACCCGAATTATTATGTGTAAATGGCAACCGTGGGCGCAGTGCTACCAATGTTTGCATGCAAATTACCGGCATTCGTCGCATTCGCCATTTATTTCTCGTCGTCACTTTGCAACAGTTTTGTGCGGCATTTTCCTGTTCACTGTGCTAGAAAGGAGACAGGAAGGAAAAAAGAAATAATTACAAATTGCGCTTCTTCGTTGGAAAAAACGGCCACGGCGTAACGACTGTACCCATTGTATCTACGTGCTAGTGTGGGAAATTAGTAGAAAAAAGTTTTAAGTTGATTAAAGCAGCTAATTATCAACATGTCTAGTCTGCCGAGCAAAAAAGCTAAACTGTCCAATGATGGTGATGGCAACGCAGCGTCTGTTAACGCGCCTAACGAGGAGGAGTCCGAAGCTTTGGAACTAATTGATGCATGTCAAAATGAGATTGATGCACTTAATGAGAAGGCGAGTGAGGAAATACTGAAGGTTGAGCAGAAATATAATAAATTAAGGAAGCCCTGTTACGAGAAACGCAGCGAGTTGGTGAAGAGAATCCCCAACTTCTGGGTGACTGCGGTAAGTATCTAGTTTTGACTGCTAATTTTCATAGTGCCGATGGTTACCGCGGGGGCATTTTTTGGTTATACTAATCGAAACTTTTGCCTAGAACATTTTTAAGCTACTAATCAATTTTCTAAGGTACGCATGATGTGAAAATTTGCTTTCTGTATATGTGCTGAAAGCATAAAAATTGTGTATTCTGAATCAATTTTTTGCCCGTTTTTTCCCATACCCTTTTTATTGGCAACAGCAAAGGCACCAGCAGGCAGTCGTACCAATATAGCACTGTACAAGTGTTGCTGAGTGTGCTTTTTGTCGTCGGTAGTCATGAAACGGCGTGGTGCTTTGTGTACACATTTTCGCTCTTATATACTTTCAATTCTATTTTGTTCTATGTGCTCTTTTCCATCGTTTTTGTATGATCTTCATGTCTGCATATATTTGGTATGCTTACATATGATACTCTGACAGCAACGAAACTATCTTTGCGCAAGGTCATACCGAGTCCTGTAGGCGTCTTATATGATATACATGCATCCAGCGCATTTATCACGGTCTACATACATACCTATGCCTCAATTATTATGACTTGATTCATGTATGAATTGTAATCCATAGTGTCTCTGGTCACCGGCCCGATCATCATGATCATATAATTTTTCTATTAACCGGATCTGTTTACATGTATATCCGAAGTTTATCAACCATCC